ACAAATGCTTCTTAGTCTGTGCGGAAACCCCTGAGAACTTTCCCCGTTTGGAACATTGCAATTTCTTTGTTTAATGCATTTGGTCTCTCAGGAGTTTTCCAACGCATCAAAAGCAAAGGCGGAAAAAAAAAATCAGAAGAGAGCCAGATTGTATAATGCACGCCGTACCTCTCTGTGTGCACTGCGACTTACCAGCATTACATACTGCAGCACATTTCTTTTTTTTTCCCTGTTGAAAGGCCATAGTCCTACTTTTAAAATTAAATTTTTCCATTAGGGACATTCACCTTCTCTATTTGTCCTGGTGACCATTATCACTGGGGGTTTATTACCCTCCCTTACTCTATTCAAAACAAACAAACAAAAAAAATTGGCATCAGTTCTACTTTAAGGTCAGCTATGACAACATCCATATTTCTTGCTATGAAGGAGTCCAGTACTAGGAGAAATATAATGGCTTCTTTTGCTGACCTCGTTCGAGAAAGTTGCCTGGCCGTCTATGGTTCCAGTACTTTAAGACGTTGACCTGGGACAGGCATGGAAAGAGCAATCAAAGCTCCTTACCTGCATGCTTGTTGGAAATCAGTGGCTTGGAAAGTACTGAAGCCATTGTTCCAACATGAGAACCAGATAACATGTATCTTCATAAGGATCGCTTAGCAATGACATCCTGCCTGATGACAGGTTCCCTTTAACATTGGCTCACAGAAGTCTCCGCATTCATGGTATGTGACATAAGCTGTAAGCACTACTGTGACCTAATCTGTTTGCAGTAATCTTCAAGATTCTTCTGTATAAAGCAGATGCTCCAAGAGTGGCTAAATTCCCTCTGCAAAATCTCCTGTTCACGTTGCCAAGACTCGGTTGTGGCTCGCAGTGTAACCCGGATTTCTATCCACCCACAACATTGCTTAGGAGGTTTGTGACATAAATTCAAAGCCATGCTGACTGCTGCCTTGGAGGCCTTGTTGTAACATGTTTAGCATCTCAGAATCTGTTTTATACAGTTCTGTCTGAAGCATTCTGAGCCGCCTTCTGAGAAGGAGTTGGCTCAAGGGTAGGTTGTCAGCCCCTGAAGCCATGACACTTGGAAGCGTGCTGGAGATCCTGGTTCGGCTCCCAGTATCAGGACCTTGGACAAGACCACGTGCCTGCTTCTAATGCTGGCCACACACAGCAGTTTGCAGGCAGTTTTCACCACTTTCAAGCAGAGTTTGATTGCAAAAATGATCAGCAAATTAAAACAACCTCCCATTAGCATTCTGTATTCACACCATGACATGATCCCAAAGTGTTGTTTCTTGGAAGGATGCCTTGAAGCAGGTAGGCAACCTTGGCCCTCCCGCTGTTGTGGAACTACAAGTCCTATGAGGCATTGCAAGACTGACAGCCACAGGTAGGACAGGATTTGTAGTTTCACCACTGCTGTGATTGCCTATGCCTGCCTTGAAGGGTATGTAAACCTTAAGAAAGGGCTTCTCTTATTTGCTTACTTTTGGTTTGTTAAATAACTACCAGAGGAAGGACAGAATTTGTAGTTTCACCACCGCTGGAGTGCCGTGATTGCCTATCCCTGCCTTGAAGGGTATGTAAACCTTAAGAAAGGACTTCTCTTATTTTCCTTCTTTTTTGTTGGTTAAAAATCCATGGAAAGCATTGTGTAATATCTGTTCAACAAGTGCGGAAAATGCCTGTTGGTCCTGCTAAAAATCCAGAGAGCTTGTAACTACCTGTACCCTCCATCTCTGCTGCACTGAGCTGTGTTATCAGACTTGCCTAGTTGCTAGGTACACTCAACGCTGGCTGTCTGGTTGCCATTCTCTGTGGGTGGCCTGCTTTCTATCTAACTGTAAAGATTCTCTACCAATGCGATTGGCTTATTATCTCCAAGAGAGTTTTTTTACACAAGTAATAAAGCATTAACCTTGCTGGTCACAGTGTAGGTGTGAATGTGTACTGGTGCAGGCTCCTTGGACAAGCTTGCTCTTGTTCCTAATCTCTCAACATATAGGATGAAAATCTGTTCATATCGCTAAACCTGGCTGTTCTAAACCAAGGCTTGACATTACTCACACGGTATGCAACATAAGCCAAAGCTGCTATTTTCTTCCGATATCTTAGAGAGCCGTGAAAGGATCGAGAGGTGAGCGAACCCGGTATGTGTTCGCTCACCTCCCGATCTACTGACCTGACCTGTGACAGTTTCATTGTCACAGGTCGGCTAGAAATATGAGGTGAGTGAAAAGCACTCATCTCATAGTTCTCCTTTAATGTATTCCTTGTGAAAGAAACATTGCACCTGACTACATGACAAATCGGCTCTAGTGAGCGCATGGGGTGTGGCCCTCAAAAATAACATGTTACTTTTAATTTACAAATGAAGCCCAAACCTAAAGTGACACTAAACTCAGGTGTTAAATCTTAAAAATACATCCAAGTTTTGGAGGGTGGCTACTTTTGTTCCCCATGGTTCCTGTGTGTGGTAAAGTAGTCACTGCTCCAAGCTCGTTCCCGTTATGGACTACAATCTCATGTTTAGTTTACTAATTTGTATCGAGATTGTAGTCCATCACGGGAATGAGCTTGGAGCGGTGGCTACTTTACAACACACTCAGGGACCATGGGGAACAAAAGTAGCCCCCCTCCAGAAGGAAGGACAGTGTCAGCACCAATTCAGAGATGATTTGAGGATCTACAGCCGAGTGATACACAAATAAGATACATTTTTGGTAATAGTTAAGGTGCTTGAATGCATTTTTAAGATTTAACACCTGAGTTTAGTGTCACTTTAAACCTTCAGTTTGTTATGTCTTGGATATAACACGGAGATCTCCCTGCTATAAGTCCTAACTCTGCGCACAGCAGGCGAGCAGATCCAGGAACTCAGTACAGAGATCTCACCGCGAGAGCGAGAGAGTGAGAGAAGAAACTGTCTGATGGTTTAATTCACCAGAATCTGACAAACACTGAACTTTGGTTTGGGGGATGACTAACCCTTTACTACTCCTTCCCCTTTCTCCTATTCTGTCCTATATTTATTAGCTTGTGTTAAATAATTGACCGGTGTAAATAATGTTTGTAAACTGTAAAGTCCATTGGAGGCATTCATTATTTTCACAGGGCTTGAGAGGTGATTAGAGGAAAGGTGTAGACTGTAGAGTATTCACGGTGAGTTCATATATTCAATACTGATTGCACCATTTGCAGTAAAATAATATTTCATGACCTTCACTTTTTTAGAGCGTGCTTATGTTTTTGTATTGAAGCTGAGCTCTGGGAGATCGAGGAGGCAAATGAATGCAGCTCTATATTCATTAACACAAGGTCCACTTTTTAGACCATGTTTCATGTTACACTCTTATTTAGGGTGTAACATGAAGCAGGGTCACATACACCAGCCCCCTTAACCAGTGGTTCTCAGCCTGGGTAACCTCAGGACCCACATTTGTCCTTGGTTATTAAGTCGCAACCCACGTCGCTCTGCACTGGAACACACTGCATTGCGGTACAGCGTGTTCCAGTACGGTCGAACTGTGGGTGGGAGGTGTGTTTGGGGTGCCATTCAAATGAATGACAATGCAACACACCTCCCACACCAAACGCACATGGTAAGTGCGTTTGCTTGGTAAGGTACGTTAATCGCACGGGACTGTGCAATTAACACACTGTACTAGTATGAACGAACTCTCAAAAACACTGACAGACACACACAGCCACAGACACAATCTCACACACTCAGACATTGTCACAAAAACACTGACAGACACACACAACCACAGACACAATCTCATACACACTTAAAAAAAAAAATTTTTTTTTTTTTTTTTTAAGATCCCCCCAGCCTCCCTACCATACAAGAACTGGAGCGGATCCTGAGCTTGGGGTCCAGTGTGGGCTGCTGTGACGGCGCTCCATCCATATGTGCATTACTTGTACAGCTGCCCTTGCGTGCCCTGTAGAGGTTCCGGGAGCCAGAATGTGGCGTCACTCTAGTCCAGGCACCTCTACAGGGCACACAAGGGAGCTGTACCAGCAATGCACCTATAGATAGAACTCCCTCGTGGCCATAACCCCATCCCACCGCACCTTAAGCTGACATTTGGCACCGGGCAGCATATTTCGAATGGCTGCTTGGCGTAAGAACGGACAGTGCTGCGCTAGGGGGAGGCTGAGGAGCCTCTCACCTGGAAAAGTGGAAGGCATGTGGTGACCCACTGAACATGGGGTCACGACCCACCCACCTAAATCCAAACCATTTCCTCCCCTTGCTGGAATTGCACGGTGCTTCTTGTTCTTGGTAGTAGCTGTGTTCTGAATTTAGCTTGGTTGCGTGTGGTTTAGTCTGCACAACCATGTTATTCTATTCATGTGGATGGGTGAATCAATTCTTATCAGCCACTGCGGCAGGGAGACTCAACAGAGCAAGATTTGTAGACTTCCCCCAGCCCCAGAACAGAAGGTCTATACCCCAGTACGGGATCTGGTCTAGGGGTAAACAGTGTCTGGAGCTGTGCATTGCAGCTGCAACACACTGATCACGGTTGCAATGCTCTGCAGGCCTGAATGCAAACATGTAATAAATGCACACTATTATTTTATTGTTGGTACATTAATTACATGTTTAAAAAGGTGCGCTGTGCCTCTTAGGCTGGATTCACACCTCTGTATTCTTGGTTGATCCATTTTCCATTAAAATCAATGGCAAAGCATCAAAACATGTCAGCGAGTGTTAACACGCATTGTGACACATTATAATTTACATAGATTGCGGAGCGATGTAATTGTCACATGTGCACTGCAATAGGAGTATAAACCCGGCAACGCACAGCGATATGTGTTTTGATGGTTTCTCATTGATTTCAACAGGAAAAAAAAAACCGCATCAAAACTGCAGTGGTGGATTCCAATCTTATTGTAGTTTTGAAGGAGTGTTAGTACCTTAATTTGACACTCGTCCATATCAATCAGCTTCACTCCAGTGACATCAACGTTTCCTTTTCAAACGCCTTTTTATTGTTTTAGTCAGTTATGTATATAACAAAATCTACAGGGAGGTTATAAAATGGAATGCAAAGAATACACATACAGCAAATCGGCGTCGTAATAGTCACATGACAAGACACAAAATTATGTTGTTTTTTTTTATCAGTTGGCACAGGTACAGCACCGCTGAACTATCCTATATATACCTTCAGCAGGGGCCACTGACTGGAAATGCGTAAGAATGTAAGTAGGTATTAAGATCTATTACAGTAAAACTATCATTAAAAAAAAAAAAAAAACCTTAAAAGAGCCTAAAATAAAAAAAAGTCATATATACAAACTTCTGTACAAGATCATGAAACAGGAAGTGACAGATATTAGCAATGCCGCCATCGCGGACATCCTTCTCTCTTGATTTGCCTTCTCTGTAAATCGCTCCCTTAGTATTATAATGCATAAATTAGTATCCACAACTCAGTAGCTCACAAAGTCTTTTTTTTTTTTTTATCATAGTACATTATGTTAAATCGAAGCGACCTTTCTTGTATTAGGGATGATTGCACAAAGGTGAAATGGAAACACTGCGGCCCAAATGAGGTAAATTCATCGCCGTACATCCGGAATGTGGCGGGTGCTTTACTGCATGATGCCGGAATCCACGGAGGGCTGCTTCCTCGTCGTCTTTGGAGGAGGTGGTGGTGGAGTTTTGCTGGGCAGCGGAGGTGGCAAGTGCTGAAATATATAGATGGAGATTATTAGATCATGGAAATTTAAGTATTTTCAGTGAACACATTGGGTGCGTTATAATGTCATATTTTACCTTAGGCCCCTTTCACACGGACAGTCCTATCGGGGTCCCCCTTTTAGTTTTTCATGGGGACCCCCATCAGTTGTCCAATGTTAGTCTATGGGCAGCCGGAACTAAATGGATGGATGTCAGTTTACACCCGGTTAGCCCTGACTTCGGCCAGGTCCGGAAAAACAAATGGAACAGAGTTCCGTTTTACCAGGCTTGATTGTGAAGGATCAGGGGTCTGTTTACATCTGACTCCCCATAGATCTAACATGGGTTCTGGCAGTTTTAGTTCTCTTCTCCATCACAAGATAGGAGGAAAAAAAACTGATGGAACACAGGTGTCACAGCGGTGACATCCAATCCGTACTGCATACACGGATCCCCTTCTGAGCATCCCGTGTGAAAAGGGCCTTAAAAAGACCATCTCGCCAGACCATTAATAGCAAAAATAATCTTCCCCATAATATTATATGTACATTTATTGTATTTTATGTATATTTACCTGTAAAGGCCTCCCTTGTGTAGACGTCCAAAAGCCCTGAGACTGCTGCTGTGCACCACCATCTTGGCATAACAATAGCTCCAGCAGACTCAGAGCTGTCACTCAGATAACACTCTATAGCAGGTGTAGGCAACCTTGGCACTCCAGCTGTGATACAACTACAAGTCCCATCATGCGTCTGCCTCTGGGAGCCATGTCTGTGGCTGTCAAATGGGATTTGTGAGTGCCAAGATTGCCTACCCCTGATCTAGAGTATTCCCCCTTCACTCCTCCCGAGAAGCTACATAAAAGGTTAGGATCTGGGTCAGCACAGGCCGTAATTAGCTATGACATGCAAGGTGGGAGAGGTTGTATGGGGTAAATTGCATTGCCATTTTTTTTTCCTGTTCTGAATACAGTGGGGTAGAGTAAATCTGGCCATAAACCATTCTATTGCTTTCATTCAACCTGCTGGCTCAACAAAAAGTACAACATATCCCCCATCAATGCTTACAAGCTTTATTCGAGGAATCCGCGCTGTTTGCTTTGTATTCTGACAGAGACTGCCAGCCACGGTCAGAATACCCAAACAAAGGCGGCAGCTATTGGGCTGCAAGCTCTTTTCCTTGGGAATTTTTCCGACTGGCTCCTTTGATGAATGCCAGCGGACGGGTACTGACAGTGGCACCCAATGTGCAAATTTCGTCCGGTTCCTGAAGAACCAGTCCAACATTTTCATATGTATGGCCAGCTATAGAACCTTTGTTGAGTTTTGAATTGCTGTCTGTGCCCCGCCAGACAGATTCACAGCCTCTCCTGTCCTCCTTGAGACAAAAAGTGATGGGAAATCCAAAATGTTTCAGTCGTCACCAGAGCAAGATGGTGAGAGGCTTCCAATGAGGACACAAGCAATAAAGTGCGACTCTGCAAAAAGTCTCCCAATCTGCATCAAATAAATAACAGTTCAGAAAGTGAGTCCATCAATATTTGGCGCAAAAAAAGACGGCGGTGCAAGACGGTTACACATTCTACTTTGCACCAAATAAATTAATGATGTGACATAACAGTTTTTTTGACCTGCAGTGCGCCAAAATGTCACATGCGACAATTCGCACTCCTCTACAACCACCGATCTTAGTTTAATCTTCGTAGACATTAAGAAGATAAAAATTGGAAATCCTGTGAAAACTTTTGTTTTAGACAGAAGGGGAAATGGTTTGATCCTCCTCCCGTGTCTCCTTCAGGCCCCATTCAGACCTGAACGCAGAAACTGCCAAAGTTCGATCTGTGGGTGGCCCTGCTGGCACACCCCCTTGCTAAAACAAAAGTCAAGTTTTCAATCAACTTTTGTTGAAGGTGCTGGTTAGAAAATTGGTGGCCAAACGGTCACTCTCCCAACCAGCTGCAGTCGCTGCTTGTGTATTCTGACCGCCACAGACGCTGTATGTCAGACTACAGTAGCCAACTAGGGACATTCTTCCATCCATGCTGTTTAACTTGAATGGGAGAATTGAGCCTGCCGGGCTGAACAAGATAAATCTAACTGTATATTTCCGGTTTTAGTGCGTTTGACGTCAATCTGAAAAAAAAAAGCATGAGCCAGGATTGTGACTGGCAGCATTGCATGGATCGGGTCCAGCTTATACTAGTAAAGATCCAGTAATCTAGATTATTATTACGCAGTTCTTTACAGAAAGCAAATACTCCCCAGCCCCTGGATGAAGTCAATAAGTGCAGGAAAAAGACCTTTCCTAGTGTTTCACATCCAGTGAATAAAACATGAAGAAAGACCCAATAAGCCAATAGCGGCTTTCATCCACGTGTTTATGTGAGAGGAGCATTGTGGAGGACCCCTCACAGACCCCTCATAGAAATCCTAGGACCTGCTCATTAAAGAGACCTTATCACCAGCCGACTGAACAGTAATTGTTGGCACTGAAGCTCCCTGCGTGATAACAATATGTTCTATTAGGTTTCAGTAATCAGATCTGCACTCCTGAGCCACTTCCAAGTAATGTCTGAGACTTTCTATCCTCCACAGCCCTCAGGTTGGCCATCCTTGGACAGGGGTGGTGTGAAGCATCCGCTGGCATGTAATATGTGCAGAGCTACTTTGACAAGTCTAATTCCTCCTGCTGCATTCTGTATAGCAACTTAAAGCTCGAACTGACAACACAACACCTGCTCATCATAGTTATCATAGTTACAGGGGCCAAATGGGCAAAAAACCTGAGAGTCACTAGGTTACATCCTGCCACTTACACCGTACGAAGGCTTCATTCACACCTATAAATAGGTGCGTTTAGGGATTCACACATGAGGAACCTGTACATTTCTGCAGCATGAATCCCAAATCTGCCATTTAGAAGCAGCAGCTGTCACCTGTTCAAGTTAATGATCGGTACGTCCTACGCCCAAAGAAGTACAGGAGCTTCTTTGGGGCGTTTTTGTCACGCGTTTCCATTGGGAAACAGCCAAGTAGCCCTCGGAAACACGCGTTTGTCGCACGGTTTTTTTTACCGCGAATCACGCGACACAAAACGCGCATATTCGATACGCCTAGGTGTGAACCCAGCCTTAACTATTATCAAAATTGTGTCTTATTTGTGCATCACTCGGCTGTAGAGCCTCGAATCATCTCTGAATCGGTGCCGACACTGTCCTTCCTTCTGGAGGGTGGCTACTTTTGTTGCCCATGGTCCCTGTGTGTGTTGTAAGGTAGTCACCACTCCAAGCTCGGTCCTCTGATGGACTCCAAATCTCATGTTTGGTTTACTAATATGTACTGAAATTAGAGTGTCTGATGGGAGGGAATTTGGAGCGGTAACTACTTTACAACACACACAGGCACAATGGGGAACAAAAGTTGCAGCCAACATACAGGGTGTTTTCAGCCAGGCTGTGGGGGGTAAACTGTGATGGACCTACAGGTATTGCATTTATATTAAACTACAAATGTTCAAGCTACACCGTGTTTTAAATGTACAGGTCACTCTGGAGTGCCAAGTGCATTTTATTACAAAGGTGAACTAACCCTTCAAGGCTATAGGCAGACTGCATCATATTTGATTTTGCCCACAGTTCCACTTTAATTTAGGATGTTCGATCGGTGACAAGAGTGATTTTAATATAGATTTTCATCTAACATCTTAGTATCCCCCCGGTTGCCTCTATCTAGCCCCAATTAATTCCTCCTTCCTGCTCTGCGCCGCTCTGTGTCTTCACTGATTTCTGATACTGTTTGTAGGAAAATATTTTTTGTTTTTATTCATTTGTGATTGCTTTATGCAGCGAGTTAGAAAAGACTGAAATGAATTAATTTTATTTGTAAATAACTTTAGCACACTTTGTACCAGACATGTACTTCGCATACCGCTTGATTTAATATGATCACTTGTCAAAATGCAAAAAAGCATTTTTCTTTTTTGCTTTTTAAAATGTGTGGAAACAACACTTGGAAAACAATATTGCCAAATGGAAGCCTTGTTGTAATAAAGTTTTTGCCGAGCAACAATCAACAGAGCTCCGGTTAATGTCGGGTCCCCTATAAAAATAAGGTTAGGCTCTTTATAGTCACAGCTCTACCTATTAAAAGCATTTTATGGGGGACATGATAATCCTTTCAACAGAGAAGATAGGATGCCTCAGGTACTGTATGTCAATATGTAAAGACATTTTACATTAATTGTCTGCTGCGGAATTTAGGAAAGTTCTGACGAGTTCCAACATTCGAATCGCCCTCCCAGTGCAGACATCCAGTATTTGGTGTCTCGTTTCTTACAGGAGCCCTTTCCCTTTTCAGATGTGGTGAGTCTGCCAGTTCACATTAGAGCCTGTTCTAAGCCGATTCACTGATTCGCACACACCTCGGGGGAGATGGGAACCTTATGTAAAAGGCACATCTGCAGCGCAGCAACAATCTGTCCTGCCCGCCCCCATCTAGTAGCCTTCCGTTTGCTTCAAGTAAAAATGGATATACACACTCTGAGTGGGAGGCCTGTGTGCAACACTTGGAGCTTCACAGGAAATAATGCTGCATGATATGAAATCACAAGAGGGCCAATTCACAAAGCTCAGCGAGTAGAAGTTCACTCAAACAATTCATCCCCACACAGCTACCTCCGCATGTATCACTTTCCCCTCCTCTTTTAGATTGTAAGCTGGCAGGGCCCTTCTCACCATCTTGTCTTGAATTGTGTTGTGATTGTAATGTCTTCCTTACATTGTAAAGCACTATGGAAACTGTTGGCGCTATATAAATACTATAGTACTATACTATAATATAGTATTTATAGTATATAAATACTATGTAATGATAATAATAATAAATCTGCTCTTATTTTACCTCTCTTTATTTTGCATGCTGAAACATTCAATTCACAAAAGCAGGAATCATTACTGCATGCTCAGTTTAACATATGTGTACATTACGATTGTGTTATTCTAATATCTCAG